CACACACACACACACTCACACACACTCACACACGGGTGGGGGGGCGGGACATATACAAAACACATAAACAAATGTAGTTTTAAAGAGGAGTTGTGTACTAGTTTATGGTGTCAGATACCAACCCTGAGCCCCTCTGGCTGGTCAGTACTCTCTTACCTTGGTAATCGATAATGACGGGAGAGTCTCAGCCTCAGCTCGGATTTGATCAATTTTGTTTTCTGGCACAAAGAGTTCGTGGATGCCTTTGATGGTGGTGTGGGGTACAATGTTCTGCAATGAAATGGAGCTGGCAATAGTTAGAACTGAGAATGGAAGGGGAGGGTTTTAATAAAGACACTCAAGTCTCTCTCTCTCTCTCTCTCTCTCTCTCTCTCTCTCTCTCTCTCTCTTCCCTACCTGCTCTTGCAGAAGCTCCACCACCTGCTGCACGCAGTCACTTACTGAAGACAAGTTGGTCTTCAGCACACATTCTGGAGTTTCAGGTTTCTCATAATCAGAATCGATGCCTGTAAATCCTGAAGGGCATAAGAGCTAAATCATATCTGTATTCATGGCAGAATGTTATCAATCAATAAGACATTTTACACACTAATAATACGTTAAACTGAAAATGTGATTTATGACTGAAAAGTTCAAACCGCCGTTTTTGACCTCTTGCTACAGAAAAGAAAGTACATGGCGGTATTTTCAATATGGAGAGCTTCAAGTGAGCCATGATATCTGGCAGAAACTAAGCCTTCTACTGCTGACTGGAATCCAAAAGGAAAGTAAGGAGGAAACTCGAGACCCATTCCTAAATCCAGTCTGTGTTCTTTCTCTGAACTTCACCCCTTCTGCCTGAGGTGACGGTTCTTCAAAGGTAACCCCCATATTTAGTAAGCCCATGGACACTCTGAACGCACTGAGCTTTCGTAAGTGTGTGCTTTCTGCAGTTGGGACACAGGGTACGTAGCTACAGACAGATTTCTAAGGACAGAATCGGAAGCCTGGCAGAGTAAGTAACTGTCAGAGTGCTGGAGCTACTTTTTATACCTTTAATCTCTCCAGCTCGAGCCCGTTTGTAAAGTCCTTTCACATCTCGGCTTTCACAGATGTTTAGAGGCGCATCTACAAAGATCTCAAAGAACGGGAGTCCTGCTAACTCATGGATTTTGCGAGCATTCTCACGATCCTGAAAAACAGCGTGTTTCAAACAGTAAAAGGAGAGCCAAGCATGGAGGGGGCATGTCCATAGGGGAATCGAGGCAGAGGGATCGAGAGGTTCAAGAATAGACTTGGATGCAAAGTGAGTTCAAGGCCAAGCCTGGGCTACAAGAGACTCCCCATGCCCCCCAAAAATGTTTGGTACAGTTTGAATGCATGACCCCAACTTCATGTGTTGGAAATTGAATTCTCAAGCTCATATATTGATAGTTCTTGGAGGTGGAGCCTTTAGGAGGAAATTGAGACTAGACTCGGTCATTTGAGAGGGATTTTGGCTATAAAAAGAAAAGCAAGCAGTGGGATATGGTGGGACACAGGCACAAGTTTAATCCCAGCACTTGGGAGTTGAGGCCAGAGGATGAGGCATGAGGCTGGCCTGAGGATATACATAGCAAAATAGCTGGGGTGTGGGGGCTGAGTTAGCCCAACCCTCGCTCTTTCTTGTGTGAAATGCAGAATGAGACGCATCATCAGATGTCACCATGCTCTTGGGTTCCAAAGTCTCCAAAGTCATGAGCCAAGTAAACCTTTAGTCTTCCTTAATTCATCAGGTCTGATATTTTGTTATGAGAGAAAATAGATTAGGACAAAGTTTCCTCATGAGATTCTTCGTGGCAAGACACAGTGTACTACTCTTGGACTTGATAATCTTGAGGCAACATGAGATGTGTGCCTCGCGGGGTCCTTTCAGGAAGCCCAGAGATGTCACTCTGGTAAACACACAGAAGGACTTCCAGAGGAAGCGACAGAACACAGCTCCCCCTTAGCAGGGCCGCCACCCTCAACGCAGGAAGGCTTTGCTGGAAACTTCCTGCTTTAGAGAGCAGGGCACCCGGGTCAGGGGTGTCTCCACTAAACCGGCAGAAGCCGCCGGTGCTTTGAACTGGCTGCTGTTTGGGCCAGCTAAACATTCTCGTTCCAGACAACTGAAGTGACAGGCTGCGGAGGTCTTGCTCAACTCTTTCAACTCTGATCACGTGTCTCTGATGACTGTCACCCTGTAAAGGCTTCGTGTCAACTGAGGCACTGGCTTCTGGCAGTGAGCAACTCTCTTTACATAACCAATAGCAAATAGAAGGACTGCGGGGGGGGGGGGGGGGGGGGGGGGGGGGGGGGGGGGGGAAGGGGGAGTGGAAGGACACGTGAGGAGAGGGAGAATGAGTAGGGAAGTGAAAGTCTGATCTCTCCAGCTCTGCTGGCTGAGGTCACAGCTGAGGGATCGAGGGAGGGTAGGTGTGCTGCCTCCTGCCCAGAGTCGAATCTTTTACCTTTGTGAATGGGGAAATGAAGCTGGTAATGCAGACCAGGCCGGCGTCAGCGAAGAGCTTGGCCACCTCTGCAATCCGGCGGATGTTCTCTTCTCGGTCCCCAGCAGAAAATCCCAGGTTCTTGTTGAGGCCATGGCGAACATTGTCCCCATCCAGGGAGTAACAAGGGATGGCGTGGGAGACCAGGTACTCCTCCAAGGCGAAACTTATGGTGGTTTTTCCAGCACCAGAGAGACCTGTTGAGAGCAGGCAAGGCACACTTAAAATGAAAAACGATCAGCTCGGGAATGGAGGCACTGCCTGTAATCCCTGTGCTTGCCAGGTGGACACAGGAAAAACAGGAGTTCAAGGCTAGCCTCTGCTCTAGGAAACCCTTGTCTCAATAAACCAATGTCCCTCAAAAGATGAAAGACCGTGAGATAATCTGGCACCTTTATACATAACTAAACTCTTAACAATATTCCAGTGTTAAACAAAAACCATTAAAATCTGGAAAGAGCACAAAACCCAAGTACTTGCATTTATTTTGAATTTTGGAAGTTTTTCAGAGCAACCAGGGTTGTAAATAGGGAGATCTGGGGGCATAGACCATGTGCTGTTTTGCCTGCAAACATTTTCAAAGATTAGAAAGGTGTTCTTACAAATTGAGATGTTGGCTGCTCCTGAAAAAGCAGAGCTGTGGTGACAGAGACTTAACTCTTCTGGGAGCACTGAGTGGAGAGGGGGACTGGTACCCAGAAGATTGGTAAGCCCACCTCCCTGTGGATTCTACCGGATAGCTACCAGGCATTAGAACCCATAGTTGTTGTTGTTGTTTTTTTTTTTTCTTTTATGACTGTCAAAACACGGAGGTGTTCATGCTGGCCAAGGCTGGAGAGTTTCTGAGCTCGTAGGCACATGTGCACTCTGCTCTAAAGACACTTTATGTCTTTAGATGGAAATAGAGTCAAGATGTGCTAGTGGCCATAGTATAGGCGTGGTTGGGCCACTCTATAATTTTCTAGGTAAGGAGAACATGGCGGAGGCACAAAGGATCTCACAAGCTCACAGTTCACTTGTCCTTAAAGATCTTTGAGCCTGAAGAATATTCCAAGACACAAGGCTGCCACTGCACAGAACTCAACGTGGAAATGGAAAAACTGGGAGAGGAGGGACAAAAAAGGCAAAAAGCCAATAAAAGCACAGAGAAGGCACCTGGGGGCAGTGGGGGGGTGGGCGGGGAAGGGTGCAGAAACTGTAAGAGCAAAGCTCCGGGAAAGGAGGGGTGACAGGGCAAGGCAGGGAATCTGCAAGAGGTCAATGAACAGCCCCCCCAGGCTTGCAGTCCTATTTTCAAGGCACATTCTTGACTGTAATAGGGAAGCATAGAAAAAATGGCCAACGAAGGTTCTGGGACCCTACTGAATTACTACAATTTCTTTTGAATAGATCTCCGTGATAGATTCCCCTTAGAATTTATGTCAGCTTGTAGGTAACAAAAAAAAAAAAAAAAATAGGAACCCTGGCTTGCTGGTATGTGCTCTTGCATCAGAATAATGAAATTAAATTTCCTTTCATTTCCCTCAGCTTTTGGAGAGCAAAGGCTTCGCTTTGATCATGGCCAGCATGTGAGCAGGCTATTGGGTATGTACTATAACACCCTGGAGTGGTGCTGCCCTAGGGTGGGCACTGGGCTGAGAGTGTTGGTATTTTATTTTATTTAGCTCTGCCTACAATGGCTATGTATTAGCACTTACAAACAAGGATATTGGGGCTCAGAAATATTGGGGCTCAGAAATACAGCTGAAGGTTTCTCTGGTCCTGCCCGGCCCTGCGGTCCTGCAGCCACTTACAAAATAATCACTCAGAGGCTTAATATTATTTACAAACTGTATGGCCTATGGTAGGCCTCTTGCTAGCTAGCTCTTATATCATAAATTAACCCATTTCTATTCATCTATGTTTTGCCACGTGTTCCATGGCTTTTACAGGTCTGCTGGCATGTTGCTCCTTGAGTGGCAGGCTGGTGTCTCTCCAGACTCTGCCTTTCTCTTTCCTGTCTCTCTCCTTGCCATAGGCCAAAGCAGCTTATTTATTAACCAATGGGAACAACGTATGTTCACAGTGTACAGAAAGACATCCCCCAGCAGGGAGGGGTTAAATGACTTGTGTAGTCACAGCGGATGTGGATGCTCTCAAATCCGAGCCTCTGGAATAAGTGGTTTCTTTTGGTCTACGTGGCCGATCTTGAACCTCTGAAGCACAGAGAAGAGAAGTCAGAGGGAATAAACCCTTTCCAGTTCCACCTGTCCTTCCTGCCTGTTCTTCTTCTTGTTTTTTTTTTTCCTTCTTCAAAGGGGTGCACATTAGAGTACATGAACTTCATGTGTCTGTCTCAGTACAGAAGTGAGCTTCCCTAGTAAAGGGGAAGGCAAGCAGGCAGCAGGTGAGGAGCCTTGGGACCATTGATGTACCCTGCTACTACAAACTGCATCTCCCCACAGGTGGAACAGTAGGCAAGTCCATCATATTGGCCCTTGGGGCTCCATACCCATTGTCACATTTGAAGATGGGATGAAGTTGTTTTGATGCAAATCCCAGCTGTGAAGGAAACCAGGAAACCACGGGCACCAGGAAGAATTCAAGAATAGCAAGGAAAGAAAACAAACCAAACTTGGGCGTGTACCACCACCCTGTAACTCCACACTTGAAAGGCTAAAGCAGGGGAATCATGAATTCTGGGCCAGCTTGGGCTTCACAGTGAAACCCTGTCTCACAGGCCCAAAACAGTGCAAGCAAACAATAACCAACAGAAATTCAGGCAGGCCCCCCAGCTAGCTCCGCATTCTCCTGAGCCACTCTCAGGTTAGATCTTTGCCTATGTGAACAGAAAATAGCACACGCTCCCCTCTCAGAGCCCAAATAAACATGCTGTTGCTTCTGGGCTCTTCCAGTTTTAGAAAGTCCTATCTATGAAGTGTACCTGGGTTTCCCTTTCTGAAGCCTGGCTATATCATCTATCTATCTCAAGTAAGAACTCAGACATGGGACAGCGCGGTCTTAAGGCCTAATTGCAAGTCTGTCACTAACCTTCAGCTTTGGAACATGTGGATGGAAAAGACAAGAAAAGGGACATTCACTGGATCATCTCAAGGTCAGCAAGTTGTTTCTATAGGCAGAAGATAACACTTGGCCAAGGTGAGATTTTTAGCGATCCTTTTCACATAGATTCTGTTTGTTCATGGAAATGGCCCCCAGAACAACAAGACATCAGAAAACTAGCTCTAAACATCCGTAACCTGACAGGCTGCCAAATACTCACTGTCAAATTAGGAAATGCATCTAGGAGTGAATATGAGCAGCTCCTTAGAGCTGAACAAAGGTGCTAGGGTCCACTTGTCTCATCTTGTGCTGCCAAAGAATGGTACCTGATAGCTAGTAACCTCCCTCAGCCCACCAGACTCTGGTTCGCTCGGATAGAAGAGTGATGGCCGACAGCCAGGCATCTACACAGCCCTTCGCCTCAGCCCTTCGCCTCACTTCCTTTAAGTCTCAAATAAACACCTACTAGGTGTAATATGTCACACTGAATTCCTTAAAAGCATACCACATATCAATTTTCTATCTTAAAAAGGGTAGCTGGAAAATGTGTGTGTGTGTGTGTGTGTGTGTGTGTGTGTGCGCGCGCGCGCGCGTGCATGTGTGCATGCAAGAGAGAGAGAGAGAGAGAGA